TGCCTCCCACCGAGGCAAGATGTACAAATTGTGTTGGTAGAGCTCATAAGGTACAGAGTTGAGGGATAAGGAGCTAAATGCTGTGTCTTAGGTCCATTGGGTTTGCTTTGAGATACCAAGAACCCTGAAACTGTGAACAAGGAGCGAGGTCTGATCTAGATGACAGTAATTTGTTAGTTGGAAGTAAGATGCGTAAGATGCAGGACGTGTACAGTCATAGTTCTCTTAATGTATGTTTTAAATATGCTTCATATCTTCTGAATTTCATTAACTCACTAAGCAAAGCTCAGATTTGTCAAGTACTGTTCCCTTGAAGGAGTTAACTAGTTAAGCAACTTAAAACCTTTGCCATTTAACATAGTGAATACGCTTATTTTATACTTGGAGGAACCAAAGCACAGTGGGATCAATGACACAGAAACATCCCATGCTCAAGAGACAGCAGGACAAGCCCTTGAATTTGGCTCTTCTGAGCTCTCCTTCCCATCCTGCTTTTATTAGGTCGCATTGCTTCCCAGGGTAACAACATGTTTGTGCAGTTCTGAAATGCAAGCTGTTTCTCTGCAGAAATATTACTGCAGAATGTTACAAAACTGGAGAAACACTGAGTCTGAAAACAGATTTAATTTCTGCTTTTAAAATGTAGCAAATGAGATTTAAAAATATGAAAAGACTGCCAGTCGGCTGTTCTAGTTCATGTATCTAGGTTGGGAATGGAAAAATATTAGATATCTGCTGATGGTTTCCAGTGCTATTGCTTTAATTTTAAGCAACTTCATTGAAAAGGAGGTCTTGGTCCTAAAATCCTGAAAGCAGAATTAAAAYCCTGTTCCTGGTTTTTCTGTCATTAATTATCTCATAAAGACCTTGAAAGATGTTCGTGATGTCCATCAGCAGCACATGTGGAATGAAATATTTCGTTAAAGAAATCTTCTTTTGCCTTTTCATATTTTCTAAGTTGTCAGTTGAAGGGTTACTGGAAAGACAATTTTTCAAGTCGTGTTTCTAGCTCAAAAGCTAAAGTCATCGCCTCTTGCTTCCCCTGAGCATTGCTGTTGTCTTTTTTAAGGTTATTCCCAAGAAGCATCTTGCCATTTGTCTTCCATTTTTTTCTGCTCCATTCCACCCCTTACCTCCAAGTGAAGGTATTAAGCCATTCTTTTATCAGAGCTAAACAATGTGCCGTTAAACCCTGGAATGTGTGCATAGATGAGTTTGCAAACCATTGATGTTTTATTTTAGGAGGCACTGTTTATGTGATGCTGTTTTGCTGGGTTTTTTTTGCTTTGCTATTTTGTTTTCTAATGAGATATCCAGAAAAAGTGGCCGCTTGCACTGTAGCCATACCAGTTGTGCACAGTAACATCCAAGCGAGATGGAGAAGCTCACTTTAAAGTTGTATTAAAAACAAACAAATAAACCTGTAGTTCCTGGGATGACAGTACTGCTGTGTGGCTCGTGCAACCCACCCCTCCCGCTCATGCCAGGAGCCAGGCTTGCGGCAGTGCCCCTGCTTTGCAGCAGCTGTTTGGCCAGGAGAAAAGATGTGTGGCACCTCTGAAGAGCTGGCACTTAGTAGCCGTGAGCAAGGGCACCCGTAAGATGGGTGAGGGTTCATTTAAAGCTGCTTGATTTGGAGGTCAGTGATGAGCACCAGGCAGTCCCCAAACATAGCGGTGCGGCCCTCGCTGCAGCACRCGCCACTCTGCGCCCGGACCTGCCCAGCGGTGGCTGGTGCTGCAGCCCAGGTGTCGGTGTTAGCAGGGAGGACCCCAGCACCAGTGGCCAGATGTGTGCGGTGCTGGCCAAGGGGCTCCCAACTCATCACGCTAGTGGCAAGGTTAAGAACTTGATCGTCGTGCTCTGTGGTACAGGCTGTTGAGACTCGTGTTAAATGAACGCTGGGAGTAGCCATGTAAAGACTCACTTTGTTGGACTGGCTCTATAACATGTTTTTATTTTCCTTTTTGTAACATTTCTCTTCTTATTCCCTTGCATCTTCCATTCATTTGGGGAAAAAAAAAAAAAAAAAAAAAAAGCAAGATGGTCCATTTCCTCCTCAGTGTGATCAGCCATTGCGGTCCCAGACCTGGCCCGGGGTTGCTACAGGGTGACATGTTCTCTGAGAACAGCAGGGCTCAAACTGGCAGTAGCCAAATGAGCTGCTTTTGGATGATCATTATAATTTCTTCCCTCTCTTCATCAAGGAAAGACATTTTGAAAAATCTTTCTAGGTGTATTTTGTTGTGATGTGAATCAGGTTGTTTTTCTTTTAAACTTTTAAAGCTGCTGCTGAAAAGCCAGATTCTCATGCAAAATAATTGCAGAACATCTTGTCTGCTGCTGGAGCAGCAGAGGGTCACCAGCAGGTACCAGCCTTGGACTCAGCAATGCCATGACTGCAGGGTAACTCATTTTTGTTCTGTGATTGTTCTGTTATTGCTTGAATTGAGTTTTGCAGCTGTACTTCCTAAAGCTTTAGCTACTATTGAAGTCTTATTAAGAAAAAATGACATGTCTCTATGTTATATGTAACACCAGGTCTCTGCACACGGTGCCCTGACATGCATGGAATTGCCTGCAGCTTTCTAGTGATAAGGGCAGTTTCATGTGAGGAAAAACACATATGGATTGTAGTTCCAATTTAAATCTCACTTCATTTAAAAAAAAAATAAATAAATGATGAGCATAGATGAAACTCCCTGATCAATGATCCTAGCAGGGTTTTTTTAATAGCTTCCATTTTGGTGCAGTGCAGTACAGACTTCTGGTGTAAGTGGCTGAATTGATATTCTGAGCAGCAAGCGAGGCAGGATGACGGAGCAGCCGCACAGCTCCAGCGAGGAGGGCTCCGCGCGGCGCCTGAAGTCACGGCCCACTGCTGTCCTGGCCTCCACAGAAAAGCTCCCAACTTTTATGTCTATCCTTCTGCACAGACTTGAGGAAAAATGGGGCCATTTTTCTGTGTTTAGTTTACTTGAAGGCTGAATGATTTGAGGTGCAAAATCTGAAGTTGCAGCCCTAGCACACAGGGCATGTACCAACAATAATATCCCTTGAAATAAGCAGCACTGTTACACAGAAGCCCATTAGGCTTTCTAAAGGACTGATTGATGTCCCTCTTTTATTTTTGGCCCTTAGGTTTTTTGGTTAGAGCTTCTCTGTGCTTCCTGCCCAGCTCTGATGTGGTTCATGTGAGCAGCCTCTGCTGTCGCAGGATCCTGCGGCTGCTGGTGTTCACAGGAACAGGTCGATTATTTTCTCTTAAGCAACAGCAGCACAGAGCAGAGAGCAGCTCTAAATAAAATGCACTATTTCCCTAGGAAAGATAAGGCTACTGTTATCCTGAGGGAGATCCCTGAATTTTATGTGGCTACAAGAAAAGGTGGAAAGGTACCATGGCACCGGTGTGTGTGTGTGTGTGTGTGTGTGTGTGTGTGTGTACATGTGGTTTTACAGCAGATGCTAATGGGGCCACTTTGGATGAAGCAAGGAGGGGGCTTTGCCTGCTCCTGCTCTTTGGGCTTCGGGCTTTTGGAAGGCACAGCAGAAACAAATAGAGCAAAAACGTCACAGCCTAAAATAGCTCCTTTTTTTTTCTTTGCTCTTTTCTTTACAATTAGCATGTAAGCAGCACGGGCAAGCTGCCGTGCTGGGAGAGATGATGCTGGAGCCGTGTGGCCCTTTGCCGCAGGGGCTGTCACGCTCCCCACGAGGCGGCAAAGCCAGGGGGCTGCCGGGCGCCTGAGCTCGGGAAGGGCGGCTCTGCGGTGTGCAGCCCGCGCCGGGGCAGAGCCGGTCCCCCCGCGCCGCTGATGCTGATGGAGCTTGACAGCCCTTGTCCTTGACGGTCTCTCCCGCTGCCGAGCCAGTGGCGTGTTCCTGGTACGTTGCCATCTTCCGTTTCTGCCCGCATCCCAAGGGAAGTATTAAAATCGCAAACAACAACATGGTGGCTCAGTCCATTCTCTGGGAGCGTGCCGGCGGCTCCGGCAGCGGCCCGGGCGGCCGAGGCGCCCGCGCAGCCCTCCCCACCTGCCCGCGCGCGTGGTACGGTCTGCGGAGGGGCGCCCGTAACGGCGTGCGCCGCAACCATCCCCTCCAGATGCCGCGCAGCGAGTCCTCCGCTGCGTAACTGAAATCCGCATGGATTTGCCATGATACCTTAGGCAAGTAAGTCGCGACATCCACAGCACGCGAACAACAAGGAAAAGCCCCCTCGCCCTTTTCTGTTCGGAGCATGGTCGTTTGGTGCTTTGCTGGGGACGAGGCGCAAGCAGAGGGGAGGATGGAGCAGAGCGGCTCCGAGCAAGGCACTCCATCTGGCTTGTGCCATGGGCATCTCCGGAGAGGTAATGGGCCCGCAGGGGTCCTCCTGCCGCAGGGTGATGGTGACCTGGGGCCCGCTAGGTGGGAAATTTGGGAGAGATGTGCCTCTCTTCAAGAGAAATGGGCAGGGTTTTGATTTAGCTGTTACTTAACAGTGAAGCAAACACAGGGGGGGRAAAAAAAAGCAGGAGAGATCCTGCTTTTGTTGTGGCTTGTGAGGATCTGATGAGCCTTTTTGTTTATCCAAAAGTGGGGGAAAGATACTACAATGTGAGCACTGCAGGCTCAATTTTTTTCCCAGTCGATGCTATTTTATAACTGGCAAAGGCTTTTCTTTTTCTCCTCAGATGGGTTTATTTATAGAGCTGCTTATGCTTTTTCCTTGTGAACATTTGCAAGTAAAGGGCACACACAAAGACATACAGAAAGTGCAGCACCTTTATGCTGAAGGGGGTTTGAAAATGCTCATGGGGAAAAGGAGGCTTTGGGGGTGATTTCTGGGAAGCGTGCACAGTGGCTCTGTGGCGAGTGGGGAAAGGCTTTCTGCAGTATGCGCTGTGATAACTGATGACTCTTAAAAATAGCTTTATTTATTTATTTTTAAGAAGAATTAGAAGCAAATCCATGCACGCTGCATGGAGAAGCTTTGCCCATCTTGCGAGCAGCCAAGCGCTCGCACAGAAAGCATAAGATTACTGAAGTCCTTTGCTCTTATGTAAAGAGTGATTCTGTGCATTTGATCCTGCCTGCGGAAGGGACAGTTCATCTGTCTGAATCAGCGCAGGCAGCGCTAGCTCTGTTTGCCAGCCTTTGATTTACTGACTTTAAGTTGTCCTGTGCAAGCCCGGGCAGTTGCTCCTGCGTTGCACGTCGTTTCCTAGGACTACTGGGATGATTCCTGGAGGCAGTCCTGAAACACTCGAGCAGCCAGGAGCCGGGGCTTAGCCCAGTGCTTTCCTACCTTCCACAAGGTAAGTACGGAAGTTGCTGCGAGGGAATGGCTGTTCTTTCACGCTAAAACTCTTTCGCCATCAGCTTGCATCCGAAGAGCTGCAGTTATTAGGACTTCTGGTCATTTGACCTCCTCATCCCATTCTGCTAGTGACTCTATTAAAGGATTAAAGCAATGGTAGACTAATTAGGACATCTGGAAGATAGCTGGCATGCCTAATGTGGAAAAATTGTGCTTTGTTTCTGGAATTTTGGGTAAATATGGGATATATGCACTGTGAAATGGATGGGGACTTTTTATTAGTCATTGCTTGCTAAAAGGAGATTGCAGATCTGCTTCATAGTCCTCATTTTTTTAATGCTGAGGTGCATTCCGGATTAGCATTTAATTTGTGAAAGGTCATCCATATGCATGACTAGCTCTCGTCTCCTGCTCTGCAATAACTGTTTGAGTCAGGTATCCAGCAGGTCTTTGATCACGTACAGTTTTTACTTTGTTTCATGTTCCTCTCATTTGATGGAAATTGCTACCTGTGAAGAAGTACTTCATTTTTTTTCCTCAGAGTGCTGCCAAAATGATTGCTTGTGAACAGCAGAATAATATATGTATGTGTTGAGCAATGCAGCATTTTTTTTTTTTTTTTTTTTTTTTTTTTTTTTTTTTTTTTTTTTTTTTTTTTTTTTTTTTTTTTGGTCTTGTGCCTCCCTTTCCCATCCTCTCTGTATTTATTTCTGTAGAGAATTGATTTTGGCCCAGCACATCAATGACAAATGTGCTTGCATTTTTACTGAAAAGGTCATTTTTTTTTTCTGTGTTGCAAATGGGAGCTGAATGAGATGTCTCATGCTTTCTGCATATGTATGAAGGTTTCATGCATGTATATTCATGCAGCTTTAGGAGACAGTTTTATGCCTCTCAATGGTATTACAGGTTACAGAAGAGCTGGCGATGTTGAACTAGGTGTCATACTGTTCTTTTTAAGAGCTTTCAGAAAGTCACTTTTGTAAGTGCATTTTCCTTTCAGGTTTTATGCCGTGTATCTAGGAAACAGTTTTAAAGGATTAGTTCTCTTTTTCCTTTCCCCCCTCCCTCAACATTTAAAGCATACAGCTTCTGTTTCCTGATGCTGTAGAATTTGGGATGCAAACGTTTTCCCCATGGAATTAAAAAAAAACCCATAAATCTGCATTCTGCTTGTATACAGGACCATTGCCGTAGCGTTTGCAGATTTCATTTGCTTTTGTTGTGCAATTTGTGTGCTCGGATGTCCGTTCTGCATATGATAATTTCTTGCTAGACTTGGGAGCGATGATAGAAGTCATGACCTTGTAACTCTGTACCAGCTCTCTGGAGCCCCGTTGTACTGCAGCAGAACTCCAGCAGCTGGCAGCTCTGGAGACCGCACCGCCTCCTTTTAATAAATGTAAATACTTTCACAGGTCAGGCTTAAAATAATGTTCCCCAGGGAAGACAGCAGCCTATTTGACTCACCCTGCTGTGGAACCTTGTAGAGAACGAGCTTGGCTTTTTTACCCCTTTTTTTCCTTGGGTTTTCAAGGAGAGACAAAGAAGGATGTTCCAGTTCACTGGGATTTAGCAAGCAGTGCCAAGCCTTTCTGGCTGATTATAGAAAGTGAATAAAAATTAATTACGCTGATATTATCCATTGTCTGATCAACTGAATAAAATCCATGATTGAAATGACCCATTTCTGAGTAATTTCAAGAAGTCAACTGAACACAGGTTAAAAAAAAAAAAAAAAAAAAAAGCTGAAGTTGATTATGATTCAGTCTTCTGCTCTGGAGAGATATTTTTGCTTAATTCATATATTGAAATGTGGTGCTGCAGCTAAACCCAGAATCCCATGCTTTTAGCCAGCTTCTCTCTGCGTTAAGCAGAGAAGGCAGCAGGGAAGGAGGCCTCCCAGCGCCCGGCTCGGCGCAAGCCTGGCTGCGGGGCCGGTGCCGCTGGGCTGGCTGTGCTGCCTCTGCAGCACCTGCAGTCCCGCCGCGGTGCTAGCAAGGAGGAAACGCTCGCTCAGGCTCGACCTGCCAGGGCTTTGTAATGTGCCCCAGGGAGGCTCAGCACCTGGGGCTGGGTGGAAATAACCTTGCTATTGCATATATCATTGCCTGTATTCCTTTCTCTATAYCCTTATCAAAGATAACCTGTCTTTAGTTGGACAGTTGCGTAATAGAACAGTATTTCTTCTTAGGTCATTTTTTAGTATGTTTTTAATTTTTTATATGAAGGTACATATAGGAAAATTCCTCTAAGCTTGAATTTCATATGTAGAGCAATGAAGGTGATCCCAATAGCATTTGTGATTTTCAAATATGATATGCTTTGAATAGGAAAAATCTGGGTTTTAGGGGGAAATTTTACAGGGTTTATTTATGTCTATGTTTTCATGATTTATGGTCTTATTTTGTGCTTTAAAATGGAAAATCACAGCTGGAAAAAAAGAAAAATTTTTAAAATAAAGTTAGGAACGAATGAAGAATGTTTTAAAATAACATAGTAATAAGAAAATAGATCTGAGAGATGTCATTGTTATGAAGGGCAGGATGTGTTTCTGTACAGCACTGCAAGTCAGTAAAATACGAAGACTCGGAAGCGATGGGGATGCTGGCCCAAGTATCAGACTCTGCCTGGTTGAGATACGGTAACCAAGTTATAAAATACTTTCCTTCTACCATACTGTATGYGAACAAGTTCATCCTGTAGCCAAGGTTTCCTTGTTTTTTAAAAAAGCCCTTGCGCAGTCAGAGCATATATGGATTGTGCACCAGACCATGAGAGAAATCCTAGAGGCAGTGCCTGTGTGAACTGAGAAAAGGACCAACARTAATAACTGGTTGATTTGAAAGCGCTTGTGCAGTCTTAAACTACTGTCTCCATGCGTGAAGATTATGAAATGGGTGGAAGAACTAACCAATTTTATAGGAGTACAGGAATGTGAGACTGAAAGGGAGCTCTGGAGACCATTTAGGTCAACCTCCCTGCTCAAATCAGGGCCAGCTAGAACAAGCTGATCCAGACCACATGCAGTTGGATCTTGAATATCTCCAAAGATGGTGATTCCACCACCATTCTAGGCAACCTGTGCCAGTGTTTGACCGCTCTCACAGTAAAATAAAACAAAAAGAGTCTTTTATCTGAATGGCAGATTCTGTATTTCAGTTTGTGCCCATTGCTTCTTACGCTGTYACTGAGCACCACTGGAAAGGTTCTGGCTCCTTTACTGCCCCCCCTCAGCTGACTGTGCACACAGATAACGTTCCCCCCAACTCCTCTCTTGTCCAGGCTGCACAGCCCCACCTCTGTCAGCYTCTCACCATACATCAGGTGCTGCAGTCATTGCTGTGGACCTTTGCTGGAAAGGTCTCTCTGTCCATGCGTCTCGCCTGGTGCTGGGCTACACAGCCCACCACACACCGCCTGTGCTGGGCGGCGGGGACTGAGCCTCCGACTCCAGCAACACTCTGTCTACAGCGGCCTGTGTTGCTGCTGGCCCCCTTTACCACTGGGGCACTCATTGTGCACCGGGAYCCCCACAGGTCCTCTTGGTCGTAGCTTCTCTCCAGCCAGTTGACCTCCAGCACGTCCCTGCTCCAGGTATATTCCTTCCCGTTTACTGAATTCCATGCAGTTCATCTCTGCTCATTCCTCCAGCCTGTTGATGTCCTTCAGGACATGGTGGCACAGTCCTCTGCTGCACCTGCTACTCCTCCCGGCATTCTGCAAATTCTGAATGTTCTCTGCCCCACATCCAGGTCACTAATGAAGACGTTGGCTATTGCACTGCAGGAGGTCATGAGGAAGGTGAGCAGGACAACTAGGCATATGGCTTTTCCTTTAGATCACCCTTGCTGTGATAATGTCACCGTTTCTTCCTAACCGGTGGTGAAGACTGGAATGTTAAATCTCTGAAGTTAGGGGGACAAATCTTTCCTTTGGCCAAAATGTCTTCCTTGTAGTGTTGTTGGGTTGAAATGGAACTAAAGTTGCAGAATTTGGCCCAGGGATCTCCACTGAACTGAAGCACCTTGCACTAAAAATGCAACAGCATAGTCAATGTCCCGTATGTCTTTACAGTCAACAGTAGGAAAGGTCTAGCACATTGCATCTACATTCTAGATGCAATTTTGCATATATGTACTTTTTATTAAAGACAAAGAAAGGAAAACCAATTACTTGAGTTTACTAAAAGCTTATTTTATATTTTAAAGAATGAAGACTCATAATTGAAGAAATAATTTTAGTTGATAATTTCATTAAGTGCATAATTTCATTAAGTGCATTTCAATTAAGGTGAGTTAAAAATAAAACCATATGAAATGAATTAAAAATGAAATGAATTACAGCCCAGTATGGTTTGAATCTTACTGAAAAATCTATCATGCAAAAGAGGAAATGGGAAAAGGAAGATACTCATTTGTTATGTGTTGGGCAAAAGGATATTTCAGTACAGTTGTCTTCAGTCCAGCTCAGACTTTCCTAGCTCCTGCCCTCCAGGATTATTTAAGTACGTGAAGCAAATGGCTCTCCTCATACAGCCACTCATGTGCAGATTCTTGCCTAGACAAGAGCTGTCTGTCTTCTCAACATGATAAGCTATCTTTCATGTTCTTGTTTAAGTTGTGCTCCATAGTCCATCTCCATGCAATCTTTGTACTTTGATTTTGGATGAGATATCGTGCTTCAAAGCCCTTACCTCTCTATGCCTCAGCCAAAGTTTGATGATAACAAAATAGCCACTTTGCAAGAGGCAACACTCAGCTGTCGCAGTTAAAATAGTGTTTAAATAGATTGTTTTAACAAGTCTCTTGGATGCAAGATAAGTCCCTCTGCATACCACCATAGCACCATTGATTTATAGGTGAATGGGAATTTCCTACTGCTCTTTAAACATGAGGTCAGATGTTCAGTCTTAAGTAATAGTGCCACAAACTATCCCATTAGGCAACAGGTTCATTAAAGCTGACACAGCAGATGAAGAAGCCCATGTGCTGCCTG